CGTCAAATCCTCTGGAACTAGAGTTACAGACAGTTCTTAGCTGCCATGTGGGTGCTGGGATTTGAACTCGGGTTTTCTGCAAGAGTAGCCAGTGCTCTTAATCACTGAGTCATCTCTCCGGCTCCTACTACTTTATTTTTTAAAGTAAAAATCCACAAGTCCAGCATAGCATAGTTCACAGACAACACACTTGGGAGTCAGCAAAAAATCAGGACTCAAACACAAACCTCCAATTTTCTTTATGGCCTTGCTTTTCTAAATGCCAATTTCCCCAACTGTAAAAGGGGATCATTATATATCCTCCATGAAATTCTTAGAGGAATCAAATAGCATCACAGATAATACACATGCACACACACACACACACACACACACACACACACATACACACCTGATATATAACAGGCATTAATAACTATCTTCTTTCTTTCCCTTCAAGGTCAGTGAGTTACTAGTGTAACCCGTGTAAGAGGTCATAAAGTCCATGTTCTGAATCCCAGTTAACTCTTCCTCTTACTAGATCACATGCTTCCCTGCCTCTGCTGCCTCATTTTTAGAGGCTTATGGTCTGCTTTATCCTGGAACCTGAGCAGTGGACTAGGAATTGAGACACCTGCTTTCTTTTCCTGGGAACAAGCCATGATGATCCCTGTAGGTCTCACTTTTCTTCTCTGCAACAAAAGTGACAACCCGTGTGAAATAAGATAACAAATTTGTATGATATCCACCTAAATCACAGGGCCACTGTGTGAAACCCATGGGTCTGGAACCGGCCTCTAATTTGCTACAGCAATCCCCAAGGGATATGTTCTAACAAACTATAAATATGTCTCCTGAAAATATAGTCTTTGGAATATGTTTTTAAAATATAGGTTTTATTATTTTTCAAGTATGGTGAAGCTAACAGATCTGGAAACAATAGTTACTGGGGGAAAAAATAGCTTGCTTTCATGGTTCCAAGATGAGGGTCCCTGTCAGGTCACATGAGCCACAGGGGGCAACACCAGAGCCAGGCAGCAAGCAGAGGAAGCGAGGGTAACCCCAAGGCTGGCAGGTGTGAGGTTGGCAATTTTGAATAATTTCTTTTTTCATTCATTAATTATTTTATTTATTTATTTATTTATTTATTTATTTATTTGAGACAGGGTCTCCCTGTAGCTCCAACTAGCCTGGAACTCATTATGTAGACCAGGCTGGCCTCAAACTCACAGAGATCCACTTGCCTCTGCCTTCCTAGTGCTGGGATTAAAGACATGTACCACCATGCCCAGCTAACTTTGAATAATTTCTAAAAAGTCTGGATAATAGGACTATTTCCAGTTGCTAGTTCTTGGCCCTGGGGTGCTTAGGCCAGAGGGATAGTGGCCAGTGTCAGAACCTCCTGGGAGTTCATCAAGGAAGTAGTGAGGTGTGGGCTCTAGGTGGGTTCCTTTGCACATGAAAGGTTTGCATGAAGACTAGGAACTGGTAAAGCCTGGCAGGAGCAGTGCCTCGAGAGCCAGCAAGATCTTCTGTGTCAAATCAGATGCACAGCAAACAGGCATGGTTAAAGCATAATTTTCACAGGCTGGAGAGAGGGCTCAGAGGTTAAGAACACTGACTGATCTTGCAGAGGACACAGGTTCAATTCCTAGCATCCACGTGGCAGCTAACAACAGTCAGTAACTCCAATTCCAGGGAATCTGACACCTTTTTTCTGACCTCCATGGGAACTGCACGACATAGGTGCACATATGCACATGCAGACAATACACTCATACATATAAAAATAAAATATTAAAAAACGAAAAACAAAAATCATAACATTCTCAAAGCAGTATCTACTCCCTTCACAGATGGCCAGGTAGACACTGGCGAGTCCAGCAGGAGGCTTTTGTAATAGGATGGTCTGGGGGAAAGGCCTCTACATGGTAGAACAGAAGAAAGTCACATTGCCTAGAGGGAAAGGATGTGGGTGGAAGATTACCATACCCCAAAGCAGGAAGCAGGGTTAGGCATGATGCTGAGAGACTGAAAATAAACTTTGGGTTTTTTTCTGCAGGTAAGCATGGTCCGTGGCTTTGGACTCTGAAGTGATGAATCTTCATTGTCACATGGAATAGGATCTAGAATCACCTTGGAAACACCTCTAGGTTTTTCTGTGAGACTGTTTTCAGAAAGGTTTAAAACTGAGGAAGAGCCAGTCTAAATTTGGCAGGTGCAGTATCATGGATTGGAGTCTTGGATTAAGTGAAAAGGAGAACATGATCTGGGTACCAGCATTCATCCCTCACTGCCTCCTGAACACAGATGTCATCTGACCAGCTGCCTCACATGTCTGCTGCCAGGCCTGCCCCACCATGATGGACTGAACCCTCCAACTCCCAGCTAAAATAAAGCCTTCTTTCCTTAAGTTGCTTCTGTCAGTTACTTTGTCTCAGCAATGGAAAAAGTAACTAACACAGACTCTAGCTCACTGGAAAATTCTTTCTGAGATTCAACGAACCCTCCACTGTCTCTGAGTGAAGAAAATTACATCTGGTTTCAGAGAGCGCAAGGCAATGGAGATTAGTCTGCTTGAGTGCACTGACCTTTATCGGCCATTTCATCAGCTTTTCTCGAGCTATGTCAGGCCTCCTCTGCAACTGCTTCTATGAGGAGGGCGTGTTTCTCTCTGGCTCAAGGCCAAAGCATCATTCTCAAACCTCCAGACTCAGGGAAAGCAAAATCAAATCCATAACCTGGCAATCTAGTTAGGGAATCGCTGTAGGAGATAAGGAACACAGCAGTCGGGCTGCAAGAATCTCTGGAGAAAACTCTTTCTCTTCCTGCCACTGACCGAAAAAACAATTACGTTCCTCAATATCCCTCCAGGAGAGACTTGGATTTAGCACCACAGATTATACACGTTGCTGGCTTGAGCCTCTTTGAGCAGCCCAGCTAGGGAACTGGGAAAGAATGATCAGGCAAAACACACACCCATCTTCATTATAAAAAGGCAAAAGCTTTTTGTTTGTTTGTTTTTGAGACAGGATCTCCTTGTAGCCCCAGCTGGCCTGGAGCTGGCAAAATGCTTTTGAAACCACAATACCAGGATTCAAAGACCAGGATTCAAAGGCAACATTTGACTAAGAAAAAATATTTATTTGCAAGAAATGGAAATACAAATGCAGTACAATTCCAATTTTTTTCAAACTAATTACAAGTATACTACAAAGCTCTCTTTTTTTTTTTTGGTATTCAATCAGTTATGATAAAGAATAAGAAACCATAAAAAACCAGCACAACAGGAGAGATGACAGATTCACAATGTATTTGTATTTAAACACTGCTGATCTATCTAGAGTGTTAGAAAAGAGAGCAAAAGCTGGCTGTCAGTCCCGGCAGGAAAGCTCATTGCATTACAGCCCAGGCTCTGCTCTCCACTGTGTAGATGGTGACCCACAGAGTGTCCAAGTGCTGGCGTTCTCCATAGACTCGAAATGCGCTTTACCTGAAAGGGACATTCTCCAAGCAGTATTCCTATGAGTGCAAAAAATTCCTATTCCCATCCTGTTGTTGAGCAAAGGATTGGAGCAGAGCCTGAACCCCTGGGTTCCCTTTGCCCAGATGCAAAGCCCATGAGCTGCTCTCACAGAAGGAAGGATGACAAGGGAACGAGACAGACACATGGTGGACATCAAGCAGGAGGCAAACAGCTGAGCTCTGCACAGGGGGTCACTGCAGTGGGTAGAGTTGTTTTCTGCCCAGAGTCCTCAGAAATGACTCCACAAATGACCCACCTCCAATGCCACTTAGCTATTTATCCCTGGTGGCAATGGGCCATCACTGCTTTCTGTTTCAATCAAGTTGAAAAGCTTATTTAGCACAATATCCAACACATAAGTAAATACTCAGAAAATATTATTTCACCTCCTTCAAGAAACCAAAACAAAGTAAGGCATTTGTGAATTTTATGCTGCTCCAAATAATAGCTCCTTTTTTTCTCTCTTGGCCCAGAGGCATGGAGTATTCATCTTCAAGTGGGCCAGGTGCCTTTGCACTCAGAAAACGCTCTGTGGTGTGGATTTAGAATACTTTAATCCTGGCTGGCTATTTTTTGATGTGATTGCATCTCTTTCTACAGAATGGGATTTTTTCCCCCTAATGCATATAATCCTATTTCTTTTCTCCTGATGTGCAAATCTAACAGAGACTCACTTTTAGGGAACTATTTCTGAGCCACTGGAGAAAGAAAGCTCCAATCTAATACTACACAGTAATATATAACATTTCCCAGGGACAAGAGAGTCCTATTGTCATGGATTCAGGTACAAGGCACATTGAAGGCACAAATAACTACCTAGGAGAGGAATGTGTATGTGTGCATGGGGGGGAGAGGGAGAGGGAGAGGGAGAGGGAGAGGGAGAGGGAGAGAGAGAGAGAGAGAGAGACCTAGTACAAGTACTAAGAGAGAGAGAGAGAGAGAGAGAGAGAGAGACCTAGTACAAGTACTTTGGTTTTCTAAATAGCTACTGATTAACTTGTTTCCCAAGTCCCTCTTTTTTCTCAGTAAAACTGCTAAGTCTGAAGAATGAATGAATGAGCTGAAATCTATGTCTGGCTCCTTTCAGCCCCCCTCCCCTTCCTTTCTGTCCCCCACTCTCTTCTATAACTGCGTCCCAGGGGGGATAACTTATCCTATCACCCTCTGCTAATTGCTTCAGCTGCAAGTGTTCAAATAAAGCGGTTCTCACGAAGACACCACCTGCTAATGGCTTCACAGGTCCTGCCACACTGCACGCAGGCATGCTGGGTTCCGTCGTCCAGGTTTCTTAAAGACTTGGCTCAACAGAAACACATTAGTAGCTAAAGGCCTTTCCTCCCGTTTCAATGCTGCCATGTTGGCAAGGACAGGACAGGTATCCACTCCTCAAATGAGGACAGGGTGTCTCCATTTCCCTTCTGGGCTTACACGTACACTTTACGTAGCACATATGCCCATGGGAGCTGGCCCGGAGAAGTCTCTGACTCTGTTTTTCTGTTTCTCCTGCATCCCAGCATGTGGGTGGGAGGGACACCGACTTTGCATCGGAATGAAGAAGCATCAGTTCAACACCCCTGCTGTGTATGGACATAGATTCACAGCCACTTTTGGGCATTCGAACTGAAGTGATAGGGGAAGAGGGGGATTTATTAAAATGGCATATATAGTTCATAGAGACCCCCAAAGCTGCTTCCCCAGTCCACATATTAAGTCTCCAAACAAAAATTCATTTATACAAACCGAAAGGTTATCTAATTTTGCCTGCACTGATGTCAAATTCCACCCCCACCTCCTGCAAGGAAGGAACAACTGAGTTCAGCTGTCAGACTTTTATAGAACATTCTCTTTCTGTGAGCTAGACTCCAGAGTCCTAACACTTCAGAGGCTCTGCCTCAACGCTGGCACGGAGGCCTCTCCTTGTTAAAGGATCCATTTTCCAGTGTGAAGTTAGGAGCTACAAAAGCCCCAGGGGGAGGGGAAGGGGGGCAACCGAGTTACCTAGGTCTCATCTAGAAAAACATGACTTGTTCTCTGAAACTTTGCAACGCATTGCCCTCACCAAAGTAATCAAAGAAAGGTGAGAGGGGAAAACCTGTTTACAGGATAGAAAATAGAATACTTAGATTTATTGTTATGGCTTCTAGTTTTTCTAGCAGTCTTATATTTTCCAAAATTGAAGTTCAAGGTGCCACTGTCTGCCATTATTTGAAACCTACAGAGCTAACTATGAATTTTTGACTGGTCTGTCGGACTACGTGGTTGGTGGGAAAAACAAATTCACTAATATTCTAGCCTTAAACCTTGAACAGAAGGTGTGCACACATCCATTAACTGCTTGGAACTCATCTTGTCTTACGCAGCTCTGCTGGGTCATCTTGACTCCTCTGTGTCCCCCGAAGCCTCACTGTCTAGTCCCCTCTACTAACCCAAGTCAGGAGTGGAGGGCATATGTTTTCCTCAATCCAGTGGCAATGTTGGCTGCTGAAAGCTCCTTTAAAGGGCCTTTGGGGTTCTCTGGCTAATGTCCATGTCTCTAGTGACAGAGTCTATTCTGGAAAGCTAATTTCCCAGAGGAAACAAGGCCCTGCTGTCTGGAGAGAGTGACATCCAACAGGAGTAGGTAAAGAAGAAAATAAAGTCCTTGGAGAACCAAGGACCAGACTAGACATTGCCTTGTTTCTCTTCATGCACCCTGGCTCTCTCCAGGCACTTAAGCCCCGCTGGACAGTTCTGCAGATGGACACACCAGCATATTTCTCACCTCTTCCCTTCAACAAGGACCCTTCCTTTATCATCACACAAGTCCCTCTACATGCTGATTTTTGTTTGTTTGTTTGTTGCTGTCTTAGAGTAACCCAGGCTGCCTATGCACAAGTACCAGCATTTTAAAGAACAGAATGAGTCAGGTCCAGGAAGACCAGGGTAAGAGAGTACAGCACAGACAAGAAGAGTTACTAGTCACTTCCCTTGTATAGCCCAGACATCTGAACCTACTCAGAAAGGGACAGTGACAGCCCTGCAGACAGGGTTGTCCTCTTACACAAGCTCTAGTGATCCCAGTGATGATAATGATGATGAAGATGATGATATATATGTATGTATGTATGTATGTATGTATATATGTAAAGAGAGAGAAAGAGAGAGAGAGAGAGAGAGAGAAAGAGAGAAGCCAAAGCTGAAAGCCCTTCAGCTTCTGCTAAAAATAAAATACAACATGTAAGCACATTTCTTACATAAAGTCTTTTACAAGCTAGGGGAAAAAAAAAACACTTAAAAAAATCTTCTATCTTATACAATAAAAGGGTAATTTCCATTTCTTATTTGTATGAAAGAAGAAAGGTTTTAACTACAAAATTTACTTTTTAATCATTAAAAAAAAATAAAAGTAGGTTGGGGGTTAGTTGTATCTCTTTGGGTGAGCTGCAAAATAGCCAAACCTGACTGTCAAAGGTAAGACTGTATGACGCACAAACGTCACCACCTCCAGCCTCCTGAGCTGAGGCAAGTGGAGGGAGGACAGAGGAAAAGGAGGGAGGGGAGGGAGGGGGGTCGGCAGGTGCGCAGGACAAGCTAGCAAGGCTGTCAGCAGTGCCTACAGTCAGGCATAGGGCTTCACTTGTCTGTCACAGGGACGGAGAGAAAAGGCAAGGGGCCATGGAGCCTGGAGCCTGAACAAGGCACTGCTCTTTCTCCCTCTGTATTCATCCAACAGGGGATACATGCCTAAGGAGATTTCCCAACAGCAATTATTTTATAGGTGTCCAATATTAAGGAGAAAAGAGAAGAAAATAAAGCATCAGCTATGAAGACTAGGGACCCCAGATCCTGGGGTCCCTCCTGTGCCAAAGGCCACCAGAAGATTTTGCCAGCTGGGAAAGGGCATAGGATTTCTACACTGTGGTCAGCCAGGAGCCTCAGCAAGCTAATAAATACTATTTACAAAGAGGGAGGGGAAGGCCAGGGAGACAGAACTACAGTCCTGGGAGTTGGGGGTGGTAGGTTGGGGAGGTCCTATAAGCAATACAATGGCTGGACTGGAAGAGAAGAGCCTGATGTCTTCAGGAATTGCACTTGCGGCCTGAGAATACAGTGGGAGCCCTGCCTGCCCATGCCATTGTCCAACAAGGGCTCCAGGCAGCAGTATGGAGGATAGAGACGGAACGATGTCCTGGCACTTCTGGAGTTGGTGGAGCTCACACTGGAGCCCCAGCATGAGCAAGAGAGGTCAGGAATCAGTACACAGCCCAGCACGTTCATGGTTAGAGTCTGGGCTCTCAACTGAACATGAGTCATGTCTTCTTCAAGGAGGGGTCACAACAACTCACAGGGGAGAATCAGGCATATCTTCTTGGTACTATGGGTAGAAACAAGCCTGCTTGTCTCACCCCTACCTCCCTAAAAGAATTTCCTACGGCAGGTCAGAGAAAGGGAGGGAGAGGTGCTGGCTCCCCACTGTATGGAGCCGCAGGGACATACAGACACAATCCCCCAGGCTGACCTCCCATCTCAAGCCACTAACACTCATCCATGTCCTCCTCAAGATCCAGTGGTGAAGAGGAAAGCTCATGAGCAAGGCGGTTTGGGGACACATGGGTACAGTGAGGGGAAGAGGGGGTGGAGACGGCCTCATTAGAAGGTGGTGTTCACTCTTCTGTCGAGTTCTACAACTTTGAGTGTTTCATTCCCTTCCAGTTTGCTGTTGACCCTGTGAAGGCATTAAAAGGAGAAAAAGTATTAGCCACTAGCTGTTAGCTACAGTTCCAGCCTTGTGAGCTGGCCCTGTGGAGTCTTTTTAACTCCTAATAGTAATTCTTTGCTCCCTAAATCCGCACTACCCACCCACTCACCCCCACATTCCTACCTCTATCCCAATCCAGAGGATAACCATGGTACTTTGATACTAAATTATTTTAAATTGTTTTCAGTAACTGTTACTTGTTCATCGTGCTTAGTGCTATGATAAATCATGGGAAGGAGAAAACAGAAGAATAAAGAGTGACTCTTCTCTAGGAGATCTAAGAATCCAGACAAGGATTTTTCTTTAATGAATCAACCAGAAATAACACTAACTATATACAAACAACAACAACAAAAAATACACGATCAAACTGTGCAACTACTCAGGAAGTCTCTGGCATTCTGAGGGAGTCAGGGAGGCTTTGTTATTTGAGAGACATAACAATAGATGGGGGACCTGAATGGGGCTTCCATATGCTGAACTATGAGGAAAGAACCCTAGAACTATGCACCAGGGTAGCTGAGCAGCAGAGTCTCCTAAAGCTTCCAGCGATGACTCAGGTTTTCTCCACAGTAGGAATAAAAACAGTGCCTTACATCTGGGATACTTAAAAGGGTTGGTACAAGAGCACATCCTGGGAAGCACTAGCAAACATTACATACATGTGTCATGTATGCATAAAAAAGTATGATTGATTATACACCTTCCTGCATAGAGCAGGAAGCACAGGCACATGGACCAGCTAAATCACCATCCACCCCACCCCCACATCACCCCGAGTGTGTGCACATGTTCCCCATGCTAATCACAGAAGCTGATTACCTAGGCTCCTCCCTCCCAGAAAATCAGTACACTAAGATCAAAGCCACCATTATGTTTTCAAAAGGATTTTTCCCCGAAATGATCTAAGTGAAACAGCTTATGGAGAATTGGGGACCAAATATAGATTGTTTTCAATGTGGGAACAGGCATACACAGTGCTTTTCAAATATTGTCCCTCATTATAAAGATGTGTACAAGCTGTGCATCCCTAAACCCAAAGCCAAACTCTAAAATGTTCTAAGATGTAAAACTTTCTCATTACCAACATGAATGCCACGAAGAATTCCACTCTGACCTCATGTGACTGGTCACAGTTTAAACATAGACACATCACAAATATTGTATAAATATTGTACTTTGAGGTTGCATATATGGTGCAGGTTGAATAGGGATGAATTTCTTATTTAGATTTGTGTCTCATCCCTAAGATAGTTTATTGTGTATATGCAAAAATTCCAAAGTGTGAAAACTTTTGAAATCCTAAAACACATCTGGTCCCAAGCATTTCAGACAAAAGGATCTGTAGCTGTTAACTCATGTGCACTGAAGAAAATAGTTCATATTGCTATGTAGCATGTTATTTATTTATTCTAGAGTCATAGGAAACCTATCACCAGGCTGAATGTTCACTCAATGTCTTTTTTTTTTGTTTTTGAGACAGCATCTCATATAGTCCAGGCTGGCCTTGAATTATTGATCTTCCTGCCTCCTCCTCCCAAGTGTTGGGGTGACAGGTGTGTGCCACCATGTCTGGCCACTCCATGGCTTTAAGGAAAGGGTGAAGACAGTGACAAAGGAGATTCCCATTCACATTCCCTGTTCCTGGGGCTACTACTGGCAGTTCTGGACTGATAATACTGGGTTAGCCCAAGCTAGACCTTTTCTCTGCTAACAACCAACAGCGGACTCCCCCCAGTGCCAGTCCTTGAAATGGGTCCTGAAGAGTCAGGGAAGCACACAGGGCTTCTAGAAGAGTCCATGCTCTCCTGCCAGGTTGCTGAGTCACACTCCGTCATGAGCCACTAATAGGTCTATGCCTGCAGGACTCACAGATGCTGCTGTAGCTCAAACAGCACTGACTTCTCCAAGTTGGTCTCATTGGAGATAATGAAATGAGGAAGATCCACTTCCGGCAGGGGCTCTAGCCCTGATGCCCTGAGCAGTGAGGAGCCTCTGTCCCAGCCTCCAAGCTCTGCAGCTGAGGCTGGACTAGACGACTCCTCCAGGGGAGAATGTTCCTCATAGATGAGCAGGTTCCTGGATCTCACTGAAGAAAGAACAGAGCAACAGGTATTAGCAAAGAGCCACAGGAGGCCCACACATCCCTTATTCCTAATGCCCAAAGCCAATGGCAGAGGAAAATCGTGTGCTAGTATTGCCCAGGACTGAGGTGCCAGCTGGATTTGACCTTTTGTAATAGCTTTGGGTTGCAGAGTGTATGCATTGAAAAATTCTACCGATTACACTGAACAGGAAGAACAGCAGAAATGCAAGCAAACACAGAGACAACTTCCACCCCCACTACCTTGAAAGGAATCTCCCCTCCCTCCCGACCCATAAATGTCTTGGGGAAAAACAATATGGAAAATGAGGGTCAAATGCTTAGAGATGTCCAGACCCAGCTAAATGAGGAAGCACCCCAAGAAAGCAGGTCTTCAGATCTGGAAAGACAGTACAACAGCAACCCCATAAATCAGAGGGAGACAATCTCTTTTGTTTTATAGGGCAGTCACAGAGTTAGGCCACTCTGCAGCCATTTTCCTCAATATAGAAACTATGCTCCCATTAGTGTCCAAAATTCAGAGTTACATGCTTAGGGAAAGGAACTTCCCAACAAACCACTGAAATTGTCTTACTGAATTGCTAATCATTCTGCCATATCTGGCCAGGACATACCTGCCTATCCATAGGTATTTCTGGAAGACAAAATTGTCCCTACCTCAAATTCAGCACCTCCTAACATTTTGTTGATGCTATTAACATGGGTGTGCCACTCTGTGTGTATTCCTTCTTGATCACCTCTATTTTCTAAGTATTGAAAAGAGGCCATTGTTCAAGGAGAGAATAGCATACATTCTCTAGGTAAATACCTGGGTCTCCAAATTCTCTAAGTCTTGAGCATTAAGAAAGACTGAGTTTTTAATTTCATCTAACAAACTCTTCCACTCAGGGAGTCAGGAACACGAGAGTGACCTGGAAACGTCAGAGGAGGCAAAATGTCTTCCTCATTCCCCTCCCTGACTTCCTAGGACCCACCGCCTACTCCATATCAGAACTCAAAAAGTGGAAGTCAGAGCTTGTCAGAGAACAAGGCCTGGAGCGGCAGTCTTCACACCGTGCTCTGTGGTGTTCTGGAGAATTCCTGGTGCCACCCAAACCAGTGGATGAGGGGCACAAGAGAATCCAGGGGCCATGCCCAGGATCCCCCACCTGAAAAGTAAGCTCTATTTTTTTTTCTTTTTTGTATATATATTTTGTTGAGCTTTTTAAATTTCATACATTTCCCACTCAAATCCAGACTCCCTCCCCCATCCATGCCTCCCCCATCCCCCCCACTGAACCGTACGCACTCTGCCATACATGCTGAATCCTATTCATTTAGGTGTTTTTACCCAAATGTCCAGAAGCTCTACTTAAACACTGGGCTTTCACTTGTTCTTCTCAGACAGTTGGGAAACCCAGGCCCAGGCAAACAAAACAAGGTGCTACCCAAGCAGCTGACTTACCCACGGAGGCTGTGTATGACTCTGACAGGGAATGTTGGCTGGGCAGGGCCATCTTGGTGGCAGAAGGATAAGGCCCATAGCCCTGAAAGAAGCTGCCAAATGCGACAGCAAAGCACAGCACAACGACCTGGAGGGCGAGGAGAGAACAAGGAGCTGTGGACCCCAGGCTGTAGGGAGCAAACCCAAATTCCTGAGATACCCAGGGGCACCAGGGGTGGATGGCCCTGTCAGGGGACCAATACCCTCTGCCATGTCCTTGCAATAACACTTAGAGAAGCAGACCTGGAGCAGGCTGAAAGATCTCTTTGGCAGTATAGTCCATAACACAGGCAAGGTAAGAGAGTGTGGAGCTGGGAAACTGACCAGAGGGAGTCCCTTTGGAAACTCACCATGAGGCAGGTGCCCGTCTGTGTGCCGGCTAACTTGCAGGTTCGAGAAACCTTTCCCATGACCAAAGTCTGAAGTTTCTGGAGTTGCTGAAGCAGAGTCCTGCCAAGGATGACAAACAAAAGCCAGGAAGGGGCATGAGGGATAAAATTTGCTTTTGATGACCCTCCTATAGAAACCATGGAGGCTTTCTACCTGCGTCTGATCAGGATCCTGAGGGCGGTGTTTCATTGGGGTAGAAGATACTGAGGTCTGTGCCTGCTAGTGCCATCACCATAGAACCTACTGGAGGTGGAATCAGCCTCAATGACAGCTTAACAGCCTGCCCTGTTCCTGTGCTGTTGTGAGCACGAGATGTGCCTCCAAATAACCCCCGACAGGCTGAAGCTTGTTTGTCAGCCAATGAGCAAAGAAAAGGAAGCACTCTGACTGGGTGGTTACCATACTGGGAATGTTTCTGTGTGCCCATCTTCAGGTCATATGTCAAAATCCAACCTGCACTATCAGGGTAAGGAGTGGGGCCTTCCAGGGGTGATTAGATCTTGGAGTAGAGCCTTAACAATGAGATCAGTGCCCTTATAAGGGGCTGAAAAGAACAGATTTCTTCACTTATACTATGTGAGAACACAGCTAGAAGGCACCTTCTATGCACCAGAAGGCAGTCCTCATCAGACACCAAATCTGCCAGCACCTTGATCTTGGCTGTCCCAGACTCCAGAACATCAAGAAATGAATTTCTATTGTTTATAAGCCACTCTATTTATGGTATTGTGTTACAGCAGTCTGAACAGACTTGGAGAGTAATAACAAGGAGACTCATTTAACTGAGGGATGAGACTGATTTAAACTGAGAGATGAAACACTGATTTAAATAGATATATATAAAGTATATATTTTTATTTTATATACATATATATGCAGAGAGGACAATGACCAGCAGAGCTCACCTGAAGGATGGTCAGAGGTGGCAGCTGTGACTGGAAATAGCCCCTGAGCAGCAGGTAAACAGAGGGCATGTTGCAACAGGAGGGAGGAGAGAAGGGAGGGGAACTGAAATAGTATGCACAGGGATGGCTCTCAGTGCAATGAGGCAGACAGCCACTGCCCTTGAAGCCAGACTTTGGCTCTATAAGGCTCAGAGTACCACCATACTCAGAGAGAAAGCCAAAAATAGAAAAGAACAAAGAAGCCTGTTTCATGGGACCTTTGGGCTCAGAGCCAGGGATCTAGGAAACCTCTGACACATACTCATCATCTTCTTCCAGGAACAGAAAGAGAGCAAGGGTGGGGGGAGAGAGAGAGAGAGATGGAGGGAGGGAGGGAGGGATGGAGGGAGGGGAGAAGAGTGAATGAACTTCCAAACAGGGCAGCTGTGATGTTTGGGGATGAGGCAACAGTTCCTGTTCCATCAAGAAAGCAGTTGACGGACTTCTCTTCAGATCCTAAGCACAGTAAGCATAAGCCCCTAACAGTCCACTGTCCCAGATTAAAGCATCTCCCAAGAATTCTACGTGAGCAGCCTGACACATTGGACCCCCTCCTTGCCCTTATCTCTTTTGCTCAAGTCCAGCATACATGCAAAATGGAAACATCTTATGAGAACGTGCTTTTTCCTGAGTCTCAAATCGATGCAGTGTTTGAGAACCACGCAAGAATTCTGGGCTTTCCCTGCTAACTTTCTTTCCCGTGACATTCTGTCCCCCAATGGCTTTCAAATGCTGGAAACATAAGCAGGATTTTCCAGGGTTGGCAACTCTACCAGGACCAAAGAAGCAGGTTTCCTCTGTCAGGACCAAAGAAGCAGGTTCTCATGGTTTAAGCAAATCAAGCGCAGGTTAGCTTTAAGGCTTGCTTTCCTTTCTGCAGTTTAAAGGGCAGTGGGAGTGGTGGGGGAATCCGAGCAGTTCTCAGCACCTGTGGCCAAAGTGTTCTGAACGAAAAAAAAAACAAAAACCTGTGTGGTCCCATCTACGCTGTACTTTTTGCCTTGTGGGGTAATTTCAAGAAAGCAAAAATCATTCATCCCAGTAATTGAGAACATTAATTTCCGTTTAATGGAAGTCTATTATGTTTAGTCATATTTTTCATTTTGGTTACATAAATGTATGGCAAAATGTAGTTAGACATGACCCATGTTTATTTATTCAAGTAAGAAAGGCTTTAAAAAAAAAAAAAAGGCTTTAAGAGCATTCTGTGTACTCAAGGCTGAGACATACCGACAGAATGACTGACTGTTTTAAGTTCTTCTTAAACCAAGACTCCCTGTGCTGCAGAAACTTTTGTCTCTCATCAAACCTTTTCTCTTTTCTACCAGGACTTGCTCAGAACACTCTGTCCTGCCCCATTTTAGCACTGAATGCCGGGTGATCTACTGTTCGGCCACTTGCACAGCATCTTTCTCACTGAGATTCTGCCTGCCCTGTGTGGGATGGTCCGTCATTGGTAATACCAGTCCCCAAGCCCTCAGTGGGTTCTCCCTGGAAGTCATGGGGCAGATATACAGGCGAGCCCACAGGTAGGACCACATGTCAGATAACCCTTTGCTCTCTTATGCTGAACATCTTCCAGGCATTGATTCCTACGGTCTTAGCTGCCTGCTTGACTTCAACAAGGGTCTTCCTGTTTCCTTGGGCTGTGGAAGAGTCACTTCTTCCAGTGACCTTTGACACCCTCTGGGTGCTTCAACCCTGCCCAGAACACAGCTCTGGCCAGGGTGCTGGTGGCCTCCAGCTCTGCTGTGCTCTGTGCAGAAGTGGATAATCTCTTGCCACGCAGTCTTCAATTAGACAGGTCCTATCCACAGTGTGCCAGTGTACCCCTTGTTTCTTTAACGTCAAAGGCCTCTGGTGTTTGGAAGTGAAACTGTCCTGGCTATTTTTTACCAACAGTCCTTGTTTACCGGCAAACAGTCCACACTTCCTCACTGCCCACCTCATGGTCTTTGTTTCACATTCTTATGAACTGCTGAGAAAACAAATTCTCCACAATACCAGAAACATCCCTACTCTCTAACTTCCAACGTCACTGGGACTGACTCCCCTTCCCATAGACAGATACTCTATATCTGTCTGATATGGGCATCAGGGCCCTCCTGAAGAAGGGACTGCTAGTAAGTCAGATCTACCTAAATCACACTAATAGAATGCCTTAGGTTCAAGCTGGGACTCCCCACTCCAACCATTCTAGTTACGGGTGCAAAATGATGCATGTTTGGGAAATGGGCCATTGAGGCCTGGCTGGAGGAAGCTGGGAAGGCTCGGAGCTCAGTAACTATATGGGACCTCGCTTGGCATTCATCAGCACATCCTTTCCAAACTCAGAGAAGATCAAGCTGAATCCACCGAAATGAAAACAGTGGTTTAATGGTCCCTGATTTCGAACAGCTTATAATCCAGTTCTTTAAGATGAGCAAACATGTAGTTTAAAACATGTATTTTCAGTTTGACATTTTGGCAGGATGCAAGAACAACTGAATGTGTGCTGTTTACTGCCGTGTCTCCTGCTGGGGTTGGTGAAGGTAAATGAAATGAGGACTGAGAGGGCAACATTCCACGGACCCCGTCAGTCCGAGATCCCGAAGCACCTCCACAGAGAGGTATCTTAGATCTAGAAAAGTTTGGGAAGTTCGTATATAATCCTACAGAAGAATATTTGTTTTAATCCTTAGGAAATAAATAATAACTGAACTCTAGGCACTGCCATAACAACATGACTAGTAAGCACAAGGGTTAAGATGTCAACCAGGACTATCTGACTCTGTAGCTGGTGTACTTTCCAACACACACAACACAGTTCTTAATCAATAACCTAGCAAAATTCGCAACACGATATTTGTTAGCTAATTACATTTTTCTTAACATCTAGTCATGTTAATACCATATCAACAACAGCCCAGTGGAGAGATATGTCTACCACTAGACATGAAAATATCACTATTAAAAAATGACTTCAGCATGGGGGCTAGAGAGATGGTTTAGTGGTTAAGAGCACTGGCTGCTCTTGCAGAGGACCCAGGTTCGATTCCTAGCACCCACACAGCAGCTAACAACCATCTGAAACTCCAGTTACAGGGGATCCAAGGCCCTCTTCTGACCTCCTTGAGCATTGTACAACACCGGTGTACCCACCTACATGCAGGCATTACAGTCATATACATAAAATAAAAAAATAGAAGCCCTTCAGAGAAAATGGCACAAATGTGTGTGTCATGCTATTAGAAAAGGGACCGTGAGAGGGGAGGGAAAGAAGATAACAGAATACATGTGACATGAAAGCCAAAGGGGGTGGATATTTGGGAGAAGGAAGTAGACCAGCAGGGGCAGAGAAAACAATACAGGAGGGGAACAAATCAGAATGAAGCATAACGAGACCTATGTATAAAATTGCCATAATAGAACTTATTTACTTTAGCTACTGTGCTGGATTGCTTTAGTGTCAACTTGACACACCTGGGTTGAGGGAGCCTCAATCGGGGAATTGCCTCTATTGGACTGGCCTGTGGCCATGTCTGAGGGGCATCTTCTTGATGAGTGATATGGGAGGGCCCAGCCCACTGTGGGTGGTGCCACCCCTGGGCAGGTGGGCCTGTGTTGCATAAGAAAGCAGGCTGAGCAGGGGCCAAGGGAGCAAGCCAGTAAGCAGAGTTCCTCCATGGCCTGTGCTCCAGCTCCTGCTTCCAGGTTCCTGCCCTGAGTTCCTACCTTGGGCTCCCTGATGAACTACAACCTGGGAGATGTAAGCTGAATAAACCCTTTCCTCCCCAAGTTGGTAGTGGTCAGAGTGTTTTGTCACAGCAATGGAGAAACAAACTAGGACAGAGATTGGTACCAGAGGGTGGGATATTGCCGTGACAGACCTGACCTTTGTGTTTTTGGGAGGACTGTGGAAGTGTTTGGAACTTTGGGCTGGAAAAGCCATTGCGTGTTCAGAGTTTGTTGCAGTGGAGCTTGGAACAGTTACGCTGAAAGAGTTGTAGATGATGGAGGCCTGGCTTGTGAAGCTTCAAAGGGAAGCAGAGACCATCAGGGCTGTTTGTGTGAGATTTTAGATTGAGAATCTGTGGGTTCTGGTTGGCTGGGGCTGAAGAGTCAGCTGTGATTAAG